TCTCTCTCTCTCTCTCTCTCTCTCTCTCTCTCTCTCTCTCTCTCTCTCTCTCTCTCTCTCTCTCTCTCTCTCTCTCTCTCTCTCGTGCGCACACGCCGCTTAGTCCCATTGCTTTGGCTACCTTAGGGCTGCGTTCCGTGCGCCCACGGGGTAGACAATGATGGTTTCCCCCTTGGGTGTTATCCATCAGGTGCCTGGGCTTGGATGTGCCAATTTCCTGACGGCCCCTCTGCCAGCGGCTGATGTACAGGGCTCCAGCTTGTTTCTGCCTTTGTGCCTGTAGGAGCCGGCGTCCAGCGTCGGATCATGATTATCTTCTTGGAAGCAGGCTCGGTTTCCAGCAGCTGCAGCTACATACTAATGAAATGGTACACCATATGAAAAGAAGGCCACCAATCCATGTGGCTGAATGTTACACAGACAACCACTGATGAACAGATCACGAGTCTGAATCGTACCATAACCAGATCAATGTCATGGTTAATCAGATTAATTTCATGCTCATCTTCTTGGCCTCCAGGCTGTGTCTCCAGCATGTGCAGCTATATGATAGTAAAAGGAACCACCTCTGAACACCCTAAACTGCAAACGCTCAACCCTGAAAACCCTAAACTCTAAACCCTGAAAAACCTAAGCCCTAAACCCCTAAACCCTATGATACAAAATCGATCGCTAAAGGCTAGCCCTCCTTACAAAGAGAAAAATATAGTTGTTGGGTTGCGTATTATTTTGGTTGGTTAGTCTTGCTTAGGGTGTGTTGACACCCCTCTAAAAGATGGAAACTCTGTCGATTTTTTTTTTTTTTTTTTTTTTTTTTTTTTTTTTTTTGGGAAGTCTCGAAATAGCCTGCGTAGGTGCACAGGAGACCAAATTACCCCAGTCCAAAGGTATCTGACTCCTCGCTATTAGTAGTGGCCGGGTGCATTCCGACAATTGAGGGGGCTATTTTTGTAATTTCTCACCACTACCTGGCTATCTTTGCACTTTTTTTTTTCTCTCTTTTTTTTTCTTTTTTTGTCTTTGCACTTTCCGACCACTAGGGGGCTATTTTTCCATCTCTGCGACCAAAGTGGGACCAAAGTGGGCAAGCTTTGGCCTCCGCAGCACCCCAGAGTGTACCTACCAGTCAGCCACAGGGCAGGTACCGCACAGGTCCTTTCTCGAACGCCACGGCACCGGACTGCCGTAGGCCGAGGCACTCTTCCGTGTTGGCAGTACCCCTCTGCCCCGGAATAGAATGCCGGATAGTTAAGGCTGTACTTGGGCCAACTTCAAGTCTTGACGCAGCCATAACGACCGTCCCTTCCACTTGGATGAGGACGGGTGACTCCTGGCTCTACACGAAGACATGCATAGCCCTGGATGACAATGCAATGAATGCATGCAGCCAGCCCTTCCCGCCACACCCCGCTCCCCCCTCTCCCCCTCACGCCCCCCTCTCAAAGATGATTGCCCCATCCAGATGATGGGTGCCCTTCGCTGCCTTTGTTTTATGGTTTTTTCATTTTTTTTGGGTGGGGGGCCAAGGAGGGCATGCACATCGGTACTTGAATTGGTTGGGCTTAAAGAATTAGCCTTTTTTAATTTTATTTTTTTAACAAAAAAATAGTTAATATTCAACATTCTCTTGGAAAACAGAAGAAGAGGAGGACGACCAAGGATATGGAAGGGGAAGGACTGGGGAGCGCGAGTGGAGTACAAGGGTGCTACATGGCAAAACGACAAACAATCAAGCCACGTGGCAAGGGACGAAAAAAAAAAAAAAAAAAGACAATGACGGGACGTGGCGGAGAAAACACTAATTTGCAATCACGCCACGTGGCAGTGCAATTGTACTCGATTTGTGCGTCCCTCCATGCATAGAGGCCATGCTAATCTTGTGTGTGTCCCGCTTTTAGGGGATGCCCCGAAGGATAATAATTCGATCCGACGAGTATTACCGTGTTCCTCCGAACACAACGCACCCTGATTAGGCTGTACCGAACTGGAAAGATGGCTTGTATACATTCGTTATCACGGTGCGTTATGTTGGGGGGAAGACGGATTGTTCTGGGAAGTAATCAGGCAAAAAAAATGAAGAAGACATGGAATTCTAGCCTGCCTGCCACACGCCGGTGCAAAATACAAATAGTAAAAAGTATAATAATAATAAATAAATAATAAATAAATTACAAATAGTAATTTATAAATACAGTAATAAGGAATAGTGAACTCGTTTTGGTGAGAGGAGGGGAACGACGGGGCGGCGCTGCGCGGCCTGGCGCGGATGGATCGATTAGAATCGCGCCACGTGGCACGAGGCGCGGACGGTTCATGGTTCAATTAGACTCGCGCACGTGGCGCGCGGCGTGGATGGTTTAATTACAATCGCACCAAGTGGCGGCGTGACGCGGGTGGATGGATTAGAATCACGCTACGTGGCAGCGCCGTTGGATCGATTGTAATCGCACCACGTGGCAGCGCCTTGGATCGATTGTAATCGCGCCACGTGGCAGCGCCGTTGGATCGATTGTAATCGCGCCACGTGGCAGCGCCGTTGGATCGATTGTAATCGCGCCACGTGGCAGAGCGTTTAATAACCAAGCTAGAACAAGAAAGAAGAAGATCGTCAAGGAGAAGGAAAAAGGAAAGGAGATGGTAGGGAGGAGGACAGAGGAGCGCTAGCTTCCAATTACGTGCGCCACGTGGCGCACGTACGTATGATCACCGCTCGGGCTGAGATGGGACAAGAAGACGAAAATGAAGGGAGAAAGAAGACGGTACCGAAGATCAACTTGAGTCGTGCTACGCCGGGGGGGCATTGGCGCCGCCCAGGGGGGGGGGGGGGGGATAGGCCGGGCAGGGGGGAAGGGGGCGCCGCTGGAAAGGGGGTTGAGCTGCAATAGGAGGAGGAGATGTTCGTCCGCATTCAACGAATGGAAGAAAGAAAGCGGAGGAGGAGGCTTTAAGTGGGCTCGCGGTTGGAATCGCGCCACGTGGCAACAGGAGGAGCGACGATCCAGCCAAGAGGGGGAAGAAGATAGACAAAGAAAACGCGATCAGAATCGCATTCACAGTGCTACGCGACTACAGTCTTCACGCGAATAGAACGCACGGTCAGTAGCTGTTCGCCCGAAGACAGCGATAATGAACGTGCGTTCTATTCGGATGAAGACGCGGATTGGTGATTGAAGTGGGGAGGGAGGGGGGGCACGAGAGGAGAGGAGATAAAACGACAGCGAAGTCGAGGAGTGGATCGGGACTAGGTCCGTGCCATGTTGCAGGGAGATGAATAATCGAGCGCCGCCCATCGTGCGACAAGAAGGAAAATGAAGCCGGGCGTGATGGATTCCGATATGCATCACGTTTTCCACTGGCGAGTCTGAATATCGATCTGCAAGGGGAAGAAGACTAAGAAAGAAGAAGAAGAAGAAGAAGAAGAAGAAGAAGAAGAAGAAGAAGAAACAGATAAACAGAAGACAAAGAAGAAGAAGAAGAAGGAAGTAGAAGATCGGGTGCACTGATGCCACGTGGCGCCACCAGAAGTCAAGACCGGTGTAAGGAAGAAGAAGAATAGTGAATAGTGAAAACTCTGGCCATAGATTGCTTGTCGCACATGCTTCCAAGAATAAGGCATGCAAAGATGCCACGTGGCGCTGACAACCGATCTGCAAGGGGATCAGAAAGAAGACGAAGAAGAATAGTGAATAGTGAAATAGTGAATAGTGAGTGGTGAATAGTGAAAACAGACAGAGCCGAACTGTCTCGCGTACACAAGGCTTCACAGAGAGTTCATTGCAAACCCACGGCCTTCAGGTGTAATCATCAAAGGCCGCAGGCAATACAGAGCTTCTTTTTTTTTTTTTTCCTAACACAGAGCTGTATTCATCCCATTCGATCGAGCGGCCTAGCTCAGTTGGTGAGGCACGCAAGAGGCATTCAGGAGGTCATGGGTTCAATCCCCATTCCCCTCATGTACCTTCCTGGGCATGCTTGGCGCCCGCCACCTGGAGATAGCCCATTGAACCCTCCAAATGGCATTAAAAGGGGTAGGTGATCCCCATTGGCCTCATGCCTCTGCTGATGCTCCTAGCGGGAGGGGTAGGTAATCAGGGAGGCACAGCAACTGGCTGCCACTCAGATGATGCTCGGTCCCTCTGCTACCGGCTGCCCCCTGGCCGGTGTCCCCCCCCATTGGGGGTTCCCTGAAGGCAATAAAATAAAGGCCACCCTAGGCTGAAAAGGCCACCCGGTGTCAGATTAGACACATGATTGAATTTTTTTATTTTTTTTTAATTTGGATCGTTTCTCGATTTATGCGTGTCATCCTTGCGCAAGGGCCATGCTAATCTTTTCTTTCTCTGTATCGTTCCAATTTTAACGGATGTCCCGAAGGACACATGATTGAATTTACCTGGGCTGGTTCGTCCGATGATAATACCCTAAGGCCGTCGCCCTTTAAAATAAAAAGAACGAAAAAAACTGACCCGATTCGAAGGATCTCCCGTTCTCACTCAGGATCTGCACTCTGGTCTGCTTATCAACAAGCTCGTGTGTGTATCTTTCAGGCACATGGGCTGGGTCCGCGTCTGCAATGAGGAGATGGACAGACGCGGATTGGTGATTGAAGTGGGGAGGGAGATCCTTCAGCTAATTAGCTAATTACTAATTAGCTAAATACTAATCAGCTAATTACTAATTAGCTAATTACCAACTCACGGTTTTGTTGAAGCTCACCTTCTGCAGCGGGGTCCCCCACTGGAGGGGTGACTGCTATCTTCTTTGGCTTGGCGCCCTTTTTCGATGCCATAGCCTCCCTCTCCCTCCTGGTACTGGACGCTCAAGGCCCTTTTTCTTAGACGTCTTCAAATCGGATGATGTTAATCACTATATTTATAGTACATATTGTCAAACAGAACTCCCCGGTAAACGGCAGCCAGAGAGGGAGATGAGGACAACAAACGACTCATACATGACGATATATTTATATATATATATATAACCACAGCCGGGGTTAAGGTGGATTATCACTTTTTGCAGTGTAATCAGTTAGGGGATTCTGCAGACTGTTGAGGGTTCAGCGTCCTGATGAGTCGGTGAAACTCCGACGAAACAGTTTGCCACAGCCCCTTGTTTGTTGTCCTCTTCTCCCTCTCTGCCTACGGTTTACGAGGCAGCTCTGTTTGACTATATATATATAGATATATATATATATCGTCAATATATATATATGAGCTATATAAACACTGATATCATGTGACTATATATATATGTATATGAGCTATATAAACACACTGGGCAGTTCTTTCTGACTATAGATATATAGATAGATTATATATGATGATATATATATATATAGTTGTAGAGTTTTCCATCTGGTGTGGGTGAGTGATAGTCTACTTTGATTTTGGTTAAGGTAGATTATCATTTACAGTGTAATCAGTGAGGGGATTCTGCAGACTGTTGAGGGTTCAGCC